CGGTTGGCTTTTGCTTTCTGCCGTCTCATCTTGCTAAACTGCTGAGGAATTGCCGCTTCCGCTTGCTGTGGGTGCTCCGCATTGAGACTGGTGATGTTGAGCTCGTTGGCCGCAGATAATGAAGTACTCCTACTTCGTATATACTCCGTACTACATCAAGTAGTACTCGTTTTGGGCACCAGCTTTCGAAGGAGTGCGACGACTGTGATGAAGGTAACGAGAGCCGAGAGTCTTCGAAAACACAAAACTGCTGACTGATAACACGTATGTAGTTGTTGAACTTGGGCGAAGCATTAACATTAACACCACAATCACAAGCAAGCGTGATACGGTAGCACGGTAGCATAACGAGGCATTTGAGGCATATTCCCGCCACCAAAACGGAGCATAGTTGGGGGCATATCGAGACCAAAGGGGCATATTCGATGAGCATAATTGACTTTTGCAGCATATGCTTTCCAAAAACAAGGAGCATAAAAAACGAAAAAAAAGAGCATAATGGGCCTAAGCCTAGTGCTGTCAAATGTAGTGCATTATTATCATTTGTTGTTTTTTTTGCGGCGCCCCCTCCGCCCCCCCTGCGGGCTCTGCCACGCTTTCTGCTGGCGCTAAAGCTTTGGCACAGCACACCAGACAGGCTGCGAACCACGACATGCTGCCTGCTGTACACGGCTTTGATGGTTCTCTCCGCCAGCTCTCGTGAGGGCTTGACCAAGCTGGTCAACCTCAGAGATCAACAAGAACTGTCGACGAGCCAGCTTGTGGACATCAAGAAGCACCTTCTAAACAACGAGCCTCTGTCTCACGATTTCTGGAAAGGCATTGAAGAGCTGCGGAGTTTGAGGTCTTCCGATATCCTTACTTTGGAGGAGCATGTCCAGCATCTCAACGAACATGTAGCGTCCCACCTCAAGAAAAAGACCCCGGTGCCAATCCCTCCTGAATCGGCTGCTGGTTCAAGCGCACAGCAGTTCGTATAGGGCAGAAGCGAAAGGCATCATCGTCTTCAACAGCATCAGCCAAGAAAAGGGGAGGGCAGCATCCAACCCACCGGCAGGGACCCACAACACCATCAATGCCTTCGCTAAAGGAAGAGGCAAACCGGTGCGTAGAATATGTTTTGTGTGTGCTGACGAGAGGGTCTCGCGCGGTACTTGAAAATAAATTCAGCGCCACCAAGATGCGGACCAGTTTTTTTTTCAAATGTTTTTTTTTTTCTTTTGGTGTCCAAAATCCACATTTGCGTCTACATGTATTGTTGGCATCGAATCTTCTGTGTTGTGAGTGTCTCTTTCGGTATGCGTGAGTTCTTCTGCTATTTTTGTCTTCGATTTGCGTCATACCGGTGCTGCCGTGAACCACGTGAATGATCCCAACACTTGATATTATTGTTCAAATGCCGCGTAAAAATGATCTTCGAGCCGCTTTTGCACGAAAAGTGTACGTACCTATTTGGCAAGAACATGTCTGTAGCAATCTGTGTTGAACGAGCGTACGTTGCTATCTTTCAAACAACAAATAATAAACTCAAGCAGGAATGAACAATACCACCGCCCTCCGATGCCCTCCCTCCCCCATTTCTGTGCAGGTGGTGCGTACGCGTGGGGACGGCAGCACGGAGGAGATCACGAACATCGATTTCGCCGCGCCTCCACAGTACCTCGATGTAGAGGGCGGAGGGCGCTGGAACAACGTGTTTTGGGTGTTGGTGCTAGGGTGTCGACGCATCCCAGGGAGAGGTGGGGGGTGTGATGTGTGACATGTTGATTGTCGCTGACATGTTTTGTGGGTGTCGGTGTGGAGCGTTCTGACCAGACGTGTCCGGGTACACTTGGTTCGTAATGTGTTTGTTCATGCCGGCAACACTTTATGGTTAACATGCATCGTGTGCGGATGAAAGCGGTGTCCGGTAGGTCTCGGAGGGTGCTTCTTTTTCCTAGGGCATTAAAAGTGTGGGCATGTTCGACTTTTTTTTTCCTAATTAGGAGCGTGCGAATCGAAAACGTTGTTGTCGTTGATACAACTTTTAATGATGTCTCTGCATCCCTGCATTAAATATTCGTCGCGTGGGTGAAACATTACTCCAGGTTGCAGACCTGAAGGAGACCCACACACACGCTAAAAATTGGGGTCTTGTCGAATCCCATCGCGAACACATTCCTGCGCTTCAAGTGAGCATGCGCGGAGACGGAAAAAATTGCAAGGCTCCAAATTTGCGGACCCCAAGCGTGCCTCAGAGTTCCCGTCAACACCCAACGTAGTATTGGGTTGCAAGAACAAGTCTTGCAAATAGGAAAACAACAAACGATATGCATGTCCGCAGATTGCCGGCACGGCAGGTTACCCGCAAGAAGACAGCAATGTCTTCGGCGTTGTTCCACCATATTTTTTCGTTGATACTCCTTTGTTGCCGCAAGGCATCCTCTCAAAGTGTTGTTGCCAACCAAACAACCCACACGTCCCTGCGGAGGCGCACGTATCCTCAATGCTGCGACGAAACGAAGACGTTGACTTAACCATGCCCAACGATGAAAATTAAACTACCCCCCGCCCCCCTCCCGTCACGCATGCATAAAACTCGACGATTGCACGGTAGATTAACACTTTTCCGGGAGTGCATATGGGTGTTATTCGTCGCCAAATATTTCCTCCTCGATGCCGGCCAACGTTTTGCGCAGGAATCTAACTCTCGTCTGATAACCCTCTTCTTTTTCTTTCTCCTCAATTTTCTTCGAAAATTCGGCGTGGGACTCGGTCATTTCCTTGTGGAGGGCGAGGCCAGAAGCTTTGCTGTCGTGTTCAGCAGTCTTGCAAGCGTGTTCCTCTTTTTTTGACCACTCTAATTTTTCCGATCCGCCAACCTTTCCTAGCAGTGGCTCAACATCGGCGAGTGCGGTTTTTATGGCAGCCGCGTTGTTGGAGTCCTCGGGTCTCTCGCCTGGTCGGGACCGGTGTGTGTACGTCGAGCCGTGGCGCTTTCCGTAAATTTTGAAAAAATACGCGCCTTCGCGCCTTCTGCCGATAAGAACCACCGGAAACCCTAGTTACGGTTCCGTGAAAAAAGTTACTACTCGGTGAAAAAAGTTACGTATTTTTTCGGCCTGATAATAATACCCCTAACACTAGACTAGAGGGCCGAGATGCCAGCGCCGGTCGTACCCAATGGCCGAGGTTCCCACAAAATTTTGAGCTGGGTACGATGATGATGCTGCTGTTTCGACCAATAATCAGCTGGCTGCCTGGGGGTGCATTCGTGTTGATATCGAAGTGTGTGGTGATGAACCACCGGGTTTTGTGTTTCTGGTACTTGCGATATTTTTGTGCATGGCAAATATAAATGTGGATGCTGGCGAGTAAGCACTTGGAGAAGATGATTGGTGCGGCGCCCTCACCCCTCCCGACCCGCCCAGCAGTGAGTAGCACCACTCCGCAACACACAAAACAAACTTTTTTTTGCACATGATGTCTGGATAGAGAAGAGAGATGAAGTTGTTGTATGCCTACAAGTACTGTCCAAAATCAACACTGCCCCGCTGGAAGGCGCAGGGCTTCATGTTCGAAACTATGCTAAGCGCTGCATCCTTCGCAAACTACTCGGGCTTCGCATGTATGTATATCTGTCTATGTTTCGCACCCACCCACTGCTGCTGCTGCTGTAGCCCGCCGATCACGCCTGCCTGACATTATTGTCCCTAATACGGGCAAAACAATGCACTCAAATGTCGACCTGGGCAGATCGATCAGCAGGACTACAATATCTATATCGTCTACAAGGCGTCCCTCCGGAGTGGGGTAAAGAGAGCACCGAGGTAGGGGGTGATGCAAGAACATGCAAAAACGACCATGTATGATCGGTCCAACGTTCCGACATTGTGCAAGTTGTGCTGCTGCTGCCGGTCGTGGGTTCTTGTTAGCTACAGAGTCTATGCACCACCGTTTGTTTGCCTGTCTGTGCCTCACGAAGGGTGAGAGCCAGGGCGGAGGGGGTGAAATAATGCAATATGAGCAGCCAAGACCCAAGCAGCAGAAAACAACAGCAGCAGCAGCACAACAAAGGAACAAACGTGGGAGTCGATGACAGCAGTAGAAAAAAAGAGATCACCAACAAGTAGGCGGCGGGTGTTGTTCTGAGTTGAGGAGAGGGCAAATGGGGCCGACCGACGACGGACATCTACAGTCGCACATCAATCAGCCGCGCCGAGCAACAACGGCGTTCCCCCTCTTAGATTGCTACAGTCCTTGAGTGGCCTACCCTACCCACTTTACTACGCGGTTCAGACCTTCCTCGCGGGCGGGCGGGCGCAACCACGAGTACAGACGTGTGCGTCATCGAACCTGCTGTGATACGGAGACCGGTCCTTCGCTGTTCTACCCGCTACTGCTGCGCTAGAAAGAAAGAAAAGAATGTTACAGCTGCTTCAAAAAACATGAAAGACTCTCCAAGTCGAACAGCCGCCTGGAGACAGAGGGGAAAAGAACACCCGAGCAGCCTCTACTGCTAACGACCAGCGAACACAAATGTATAATTGTACATGTATAGGCAACCAATACTCACCGGATATTGCCTCCCCCCCTCGCGCACTGCCTGTGTCCCGCCCTCAACACAATCCCCCAACAACCTGGCCCCTCGACATGTTTCAGACGGAGACAAGCATCACCATTGGGCCTAACGTCCACCAAAACATCTCCCACGCTTGCTTGCTTATGGGTATTTTCTTCAGAGGCAATCCGGGAAACGATCCGAGGTCAAAACAACAGAACGATCCATCAGGACAGAACCAGCAAAACAGATCGATAGTTGACAGCACCCTCCCCCCCGCAGCTTGCGATTCTCGGATTTCCGCACGGCTTCCTTCAGCCCGTCAGATTATGATTCGTCTACGCGGAAAGCAGCGTCCACGCGGAAAGCAACGTGCGTGCGTGGACTCCTCAGACCGAGCCAACCAGGGAGCAAGTTCCAGACCTCAGGACGAACGCGAAATCCCCTTTTACGAGGCGCTCGGAGACTTCGGGGTTGACCTGAGTGTAGGGCAGACTGCTGCCCTTCGTGCCTGCGGGACGGTAGAGTCCCAGCGGCATAGCACCCTGCAGGATGAGCTCCCGCACCAGGGCGTCGTACCTTCCCCCCAAAAACTTGCCCGACGCCACGCGTAGCATGTCAAACTGCCCCGTGGGCGGGACAGTGGAAGCAGTCCCAGCTTGTCCGCGGATCGGCGAGTGGCGCGAAGGGGGCTTCTTTCCTCTAGCACCAGCAGAGGGCGTAGTGTCACGGGTTTCGTCGACATCGCGGCCAGAAGAGGCGGGGGGCGGCACTGCGGGCTCCATGATGGATGCGTCGTCTACCAGCTCGTTCCCGACGAGTACCAGGCGTTTCATCTGGAGAAGGGTCTCGAAGAACGCCAAAAACTCTGTGCTGAAGTACGTCTGCACCTCGAACACCTCCATGACTTGCATTTCGTGTTGATTTGCCACCAACGCGTGGGGCACACGGGCCAGGAGTAGAATCGGAGTAGGACCATGTGTAGGGCAACAGGGATGTGTGAGCGGTATCCTACGTGAAGTGTGTTGAAGGTAATGTGGTACGTAAGTCAGCACGTGGGTGGAATAAATAGGCGTCAGGGGCCATCTCTCGGGTGCTGGATGGTGCCGGAAAAGAGGAAACTACGCGGCTCCCACTCAAGGCCGGCGCACTTCGATGACAAGACGTGGGTGCGCCGACCGTGCCCATCCTGTGGGGATGGCGGCTATAAGGCGCAGTGGAAGGAAAGGGGCGTGCAAGTTGGAAAATAACCGAAAACGCAAGAAAACCGGGATTGGAATCAAGCGTGGCCGGGGCACACCACTCACTTGATTCAGTCCACACCATCCCAGCTGCGAAAAGTGGCCACTCCCACACGCCGGCGGAGGTTAACGCCGACGATTCCTACCACGCGCGGTAAAGACGGTGTAAAGGGGGGTAACGGCAGTTTGAAGCATTGTGAGCCCCCCACAAACTCTGTGAACGGGTCTCTTGCGGTGCTTGTTTCCTCCAAGCAGAGAATAAAAACACGTATGCATACCACTCGCCAACAAACAATTGCACGCCACAAACTAATAGGCAGAGCTCAGACCGCTCCTGCAACCGAAAAAAGCTCATGATCGATGCGAGGCCACATGCACCGGTATCCGCATCTACCTTCTAGGCCCTGCAGGACCATGGCCGTTCAACCCGGCACGTCGGATCCACTCAATCGGCAAAACAATGGGAGAGATAGCTACCACGATACCTACCGTCTATTGCCCCTGATGAATCCTTTAGGCGACAAGGGGTGCAGAAGAGCAAGTCTGCTTGGGTATTGGCAGAAACGGAATTCATATAACTGCCATTCAAGCACCTTGAGGATGCGGCTGCTGCGCCCGCGCCTAGCGTTGGACCCCCCCCCCCCATGGCCGAGCATGTTTCCGCAGTAGTAGATGCTGTTGTCGGTGTGCAGGTCGATCAACACCTGTCGTCGGAGTGTTCATTTCGCACCTCAGGGAGGTTGCGCGTTTCCGACTAGGCACCTGGCAAAAATATCGAGCCTAACGTTTCGTCGAAACCAACCCGATATCTGCTGATCACCAAGGTGTTGCTGTACAGCTCGACCGCACCCCACACCTCAACCTCAATCGAGAGGAACCCGACGCCGGACACGATAACCTCAACCGCGGCCGAAAAATACGGGAACTCCACCGGCAATCGGAGCCACCCCAAACCGTGGCTCTACATCGACGGGGGCGTCCACTCCGGGGTGTGCGTGGTGGAACCAACCCCGTGGAGCAAAAATACACGATTTCGTCCGTAAACACTCGTGTGGGCGTAAGCCAGCCAAACAGCTAGCTACTTTCGTCAAGAGTCCACAACGTGTGTGTCACCTTGGGGGCATGTTGACCTGCTGGTATCTCCCTCAGCATTTGCTCCAGCTCGAACGATACCAGGAGCACGTCCGTGTCGTTCGGCTTGTCCGACACGAGAAGCACAGCGGCAGACTTGAGGTGTAGTTGAATAAGGTCCCCGAACATGGAAACACGCAGAGGTGAGGGGGGTGATTGGGACGGAAATTCGCGAGGGTTGCCTTGTGCGCACAGACAGGCGTGCCCATCGAGAACTGGGCATTGTTCCCAAGCTCGGTAGAGCTTGGGTCTCTATCGACCTAAGTTCACTTTTTCTGTCCCTGTCATTTTCATTCGCATAGCCCACTCCTTGCCCGACCCGGTCTAAAATGCTGATCTCGAGCCACAGTGAGAATCTCGAGGCACCTCACGATGGTTCGGTAGGGAATCGCAAACAATGACCCCTCCCAGAGTTTCAGCAGCTTCCACCTCCTGTGACCGACACAACTCGGCCTTGACTGTTCCTCGTCGTTTTCACCATGGGAACGGCCGGTTGAACAGAGAAAAAGGGTCCTGCTTGCTGCGCGCCACAATCCTCCATATTTTGGGTTTGCGTTTGTGTGTGTGGTTTATTTCTTTCTGAGTACCGCTCGACATGTGCTGCAAAAGCTTGTGCTGCAAAGCTCGTAATTGTCGTCTCTGTAGATTGCGCGCGTTGCTCGCGCAGGCAGCGAGTTGCTCATGTATAGGTAACGATGCGCGTCTCTTGTTTTTTTTGTCTGTGTCGTCATCCATGAACAACAACAGTAGTTCGAGCCAAAGACTAACAACACGTGCGGTCCGCCGCACGCAAGCATGTATGTTTGCTGCGTACGTAATTTGGAACTTGAGCGCGATACGGTCGATGGCAGCACAGCATACACATATAATAGCAATGACAACGGTCGATGCTTCTTGTAACGGTGCACATCTAACACGGACGGCAGGCAGGTCTTTTTAAGGTAGTTCGTCCGTGGTGATTAGTCTCTTCTAGTCATTTTCATTTTGTTTTTGTTGTCACTACAACGTTTACCACAACGAAAGTCCACGAAGAAAGAAAGTCCGTTCGTAGATTCCGTAGTTTCGTTTGTTGCTGTCTGAGAAACGAGACTACCCGTGCACCCGGCTGCTGCATGTAACACGATGGGCGTGCTAGGCAATGCGCGTGGCCACAATGTTTGCGGCTGTGCCAATGTGAAAGCTTCTGGGGGTTCTGAGTGGCGACGGTGCTTTTTCTATGTTCTCCTCCGCCTCCTCGCTGAAGCCTGTTGGGTCTGGCTCCATTTAGTGGTTGTACAATGCATATGCGTATTGTGTTGTATTCATGCCTTGTTTTTCTGGGGTCCTTCATCCTCCATCCGTCCTGGCCCACCCACCAATTAATATGAGTTATTTTTGGGGGATATTTTTCTTGGCATGTATCGGGTATGGCTGTGTGTAAGCTCGAGGGATAGGGTCGACGGCAGCACACTCATGTGCGTAGCAGAAAGCTATACGAGGGGTTAACGCCTTCCTCGATCTCGGTAGCGATGCGCATCCCCCACCGGCAAGCGAAATAGTACGCCAATCAATCAGGACTATATCAGGATGTTCTTGTGACTACAAATGCAAGTTTGGCCGGGGGTACTTGGTTCTTGCCGAAAGAGCGGAACTAACCTACCGGTCCACGTTCTGATGGTCTCTTTCATTCGGGTGGGTATGATCGTGCGTACCAGCCAGATCATCAGCGAGCACGATTAGCGAGATTGTTGATAGCGTGGACTCCTTCGCCACAAAAATCACAAACAGTGCATACGCATGGATGGATGAGCGCTGTGAGAAGTGCCTCCTCTTTTTCTACGCTGAGGGTCGGTCGAAGACTGTTGTTATTTCCGGGTGCGCCTCAGGTCGTCTCAACCTTCTTCGCGCGAAAAACAAGTCATGGTCTCCACCAACAATAACAGTCCATTTGCTAGCAGCGGTGCAGGCACTGCTGGGTTCGGCAAAAAAAATGGTATTTTTCGCTCAGTAACGTCTAACGTCTATTGATACATGTATGCATTCCCAAGCTCGGTAGAGTTTGGTCTCTATCGACCTTCACTTTTTCTGTCCCTGATATTTTCTTTCGCAAAGTCCACCCCTTGCCCGACAGGGTCTCAACTGCTGATCTCGAGGCACAGTGGTCAGAGGGACGAGAGTGGGTGTGTTCTCGAGAGTTCATGCCTTGTCTTCTCTCCGCTCTCTTCTCTCGCATTTCGCCGGTGGGGTCCCCACGACAGCGCCAACCGCGATTGTTTTTCCTTTACATCTTGCTGACTGAGTGGACTAAAGAGGCTATCCGTGCGTCCGGCCGCTGTATGGGAGACGATGGGTGCTGTCAGGGAATGGGCATGACCATGATACTTGCTGTAGTGCCTATGTGACAGATTCCAGGGATTCAGAGCGACGAGGAAGGTGCTTTTTCAATGCTCTCTTCCGCCTCCTTTCCGAAGCCTGTCGGGCCTGGCTCACTCTATTGCCTCGCTCTTTTCTCCCACTGCTATGTTTTTTTTTTTCATGCTTTGTTTTTGGGGGTCCCCCGTCCACCCATCGTATAGCGGTGCGCATCTAACACGGACGGCAGGGTTATTGAGGTGAAGTAGTTCGTCCGTGGTGGTGATAGCCTGTTGTCTGGTCTTGTCTGGTCATGTGCTTTTTTCATTTGTCACCACACTGTAGCTTCCGCATCCTACGGTTAAGAACTATATTGCTCGCGTAGCGTTGCACATCTCTAACGGCAAGCAGAGAATAGTATGCCAATCATGATGTTGCGTTATACGTCATTCATGATGTGGGTTGACGTTTGTCGTGACGACAAATAAATGCAAGTTCGGCCGGACGTTTTTTGTTCTGCCGAGTGAGAGGGACTAAATGACAGGTCCGCGTTCTGCTGGTCTCCTGCATTCGGGTGTGATAGTGCGCTGGACAGATCATCAGCGAGCATCTAATAGCAAGGATACTGTTGACAGCGTCGAGTTCCTCACAACAAAGTGCATACAGTAGGTGGCCCGACATAGTGGCGTGTAGGGGCAAGAGGAGAATATGCCACTATTCAGGCCAGTGCCAATATTCGATATATATATCGGGTTCATGTACATGTCGAGATTGTGACAAGAAATTTTGATGCCACGATATGAGCAGCTCCACTAATATAATAATTCAAATACATTGGGCCACCTACTGTAGGCATGGATGCGCGTTCTGAGAAGTGCCCTCTCTCTCCGTTCAGGGCTGGTCGCGGCTGATCTTTTCGGGAGCGCTCGGGCGACATGTGTATCAGACCCTCCGGACGAACATGCTAGCTAGTTTTTCATGCGTCTACAGGACGACTTGTGGCTAGGGTCAGTGTTAGTTAGGGTTAGCTTCTTCGGGTGTGACTGTGTTGGCCCAATAATATACTGCTGTGGGTATGCATAGCTCGCTACAATATCTTTGCGTTTGCGTGCGTCAGTTGCAGACTGCGGAGCCCTGCCCCTGACGCGTGACTCTCCGTTCTTTCTCAATCAAGTGGCACGTGTGTTGTTGTTTTCCTTCGTTGGTGAATAAGGTGTGCCCGGCATGACGCAAGAAGAAAAAAAAAAAGGGAGCTTGGGACTAGCACGCCGACGATATTCGTCAGCTTGCTTTTGAAACAAAGGGGGAAGGGGCACAATAAAATCTGCTTAAGATTCGCGATCGGATATCCCCGTGCATTTGATCGCGGGCAACGGGGTTGGGTGGGTCGCACATGCAAAACGCCGGGGCACCCCACCATGCGAATAGAATTAAACAAGACGGGACACACGAGACTTGTACCGCCCGACCCCTTACAAAACATTCCGATTGTTGTGCAGCCACGACTGTCCGTGGTGTGTACAACATGAACGGCCGAGGAGCGCCCAACCGCGACGGCTGAGCACAGACAAAAAATACAGTGACGAAAAAAGCCACAAAGCACTATGGAGTACGGCCGGCGCAAGGAGGATTGCGTTATCTTTGAAGACGTTTCGAACGTTCAACATTCTCGATAAACCACACGCCAGGACTCGAGATATATTGTCAAGACCATGGGATACCCCGAAGACCTCTGTGATTGATGTTTTGGCATACTTCTGCTGCGTATCTTCGCCTGCGTGAAAAAACGCAACGTGCGCGAGAACACCAGGGGACCAATTTCTATGCTTCACCCGTCCAACTTCTGCAGAAACAGGGACAAGTCATGCGTGACCGCTGTACGATAACAAATTAAAAACACGAAAATCTCCCTGAAAAAAACGAAGAATGTAACTCACGTTTGCCACCCTGGCCTTTGTGAAGGTTCCTCTTTGTTGGCGCTTCCCGGTAACGGAAAAGATCTTGGTGATGTTCAGGTCGGCGCAGTCGCACTTCGCTTCTGCAATCTTCTCGCGCAACTCGAAGAACCTTTCCTGGTGTGGCGTGTGGTCGTTTTCGCGGTGGATTCGTGGGCTGAGTTGGTGTGCTCGTAGGGCGCATCTGGTCGATTCTGTTAGCGTGCTCTTCAGGCAACGTGCAAGGGTGTGGGCACAACTGGGCGAACCAAACCGCACCCCGGAATCTAGTGCTGTTCACATCGCCAAGATATCGACTTCGGGATTGAAAGTTGTGAGCCTGGTTGGCAGCGGCCAGAACAACTAGGAATTTACAAATAAGAAACGAAAGCAGAGATCAGAAGGGCGTTGCTCATGACTCGTGATAAAACTTTCCCTTCGCCAACTAGTGCAGAGAGTGCACGCTCGCCTTGTCTTCGGTGACCACAACGATGGCCAAGTCGGGGCGTTGCCGACGAATCGCGGCCACGTAGTACTGCAAGCGCGGGTGAGCGCCGATGATGACGAGGTGGTCCTCGAGGTCCTCGGGCACCGCGGCGGCCTGGACGCGCAGGGCGTCGTCCAGCCGGCAGCGTGCCTCCTGCACCTGCGGGCCACCAACCCGCAGAACAACACACGCACACACACACATGCGCGCGCGCAAACGTTGGGCGGAAGACTTGCTACGTGCGCGGCAAAAAACGCCCAACGGTGGTACGATTTAGCAAGCAGCATGACTTCGTAACACTACTAGGCATAACACATGGTTGTACAAGATCCCTCAGGTGATTCTCGGCGCTCGGTCGCGTGACCGAGAGATCGGTTTCCGCGGAAATTATGCCTTCATGTCTGCCAGGCTTGGGGAGTGTCTCCCGGACAACATCCTGACCAAACCACTGAGAAAGCTCCACAAGCAGGGCGCTATCCCTGTTCTTAACAATCGGTGGTGGTTGGAGAATGTGCACTGAGCATTTTTCTATAGTTCAATCTATTGTGCGAACCTAAGCGCATTGCCGCCGCCCGCTATCAGATAGGACGACAGATAAACTAGAAACGGCCTCCCTCCAACACCGGGCGGCCATGAAGTCAGGCAAGGGCGGATGGCAGTACACACATGCGAGCATACACCGCCGGGCTGGCTTAAACGTTGTTGGCCTGCCGGCCGGGTGTGCCACGCGAAGCCCATTTCTCTCTCTCTCTCTCTCTCTCTCTCTCTCTCTCTCTCTCTCTCTCTCTCTCTCTCTNCTCTCTCTCTCTCTCTCTCTCTCTCTCTCTCTCTCTCTCTCTCTCACACACACACACACACATACACACACACCGTCGAAAAAAACTCTTTCGGGTCGAGCGTGATGGTCGACTCGGTGAACGTGCCCGCCACCGTCTTGAGCGAGTTAAGTTGTCCCGTTGCTGTCGTGAGGGCCTCCAACGCCTCCTTCCACCGAACCCCGTCTTCGGTACGCCTGTTTTCGGTTCAGCACCCCGGAAACAAACAACAACAGCAATGCGAAGATTCTCTTTCGTCGCTCTCACCCCAGTCTCTGTCTCCGCTCTCAAATGTCGGGCTCTCACATCTCGACCATATCTTGCGGGTTAATTATACTTTGCACTTTCAATAATCCCGTTATTCCGCTGATTTTTGCATGTCTTCTGGCTCGCTCGCTCGCAGAACCTTTCGCCCCTCTCCTCTCTGCTTTCCATCCATCATCATCCATCCACACATTTATAATATGTTACCCCAGTCTGCCTCTCGGCTCTCACACCCTAGTCTACCCCAGTCTCTCGGTGGGCTTTCACACATCGAGCACCTTTTTCATCTTTTCCGGGTTATTGTTCATTCAGATTTCGGGGCAATTGTTTCAACTCCGCAGTTAACTCCCAAGTGCCGCGTTGACACGGCTTGATGCTGCATGTCACGGAACCTCCTTAGTTGTCACACGACGAACGACGAGTTGACGCCGGGCGCACTTCTGGCTGTGGGGCCCGAGCGTTCCTTCCAAACACAAGGCATCTATTAATCCACTGCTTCACCATCTCTCTCTTCCACCCCTCTACCATACTGTGTTCGGTTTATTTTTACATGACGAAGTACGGGCCTCTCGCTGATATCTGTCTCGCTCACCACGACCGCTCGGCTGCATCAAAAATATTGAGCCCCTTCTACACGTACAAATCTCCGAGTAACACATTAGGCCTAAAAAACACTCCCAACCGTTCATGTGTGTGTGCGTTTATTCGTCACGCATGCGGATGTGCACGTACTGATAGTCCTCTCTGTCCATCCAAAAATGTTCATTGTTTTTCTCCCCTGTGCCATAAGCTTCCTTCGTCAACCATTGCGAGCTATTGAGCAAAACGGCGAAAGTGCCAGATACAACGTGTCGCGTATCTTGGAATCGATCCATTGAGCGGGGAGGCGAAAGCCGCCAGACTCCTCGTAGCGATGCGAATCGGATAAGAACCCGCCGGAGGGTAGTATCGTAACAACAAGACGGCTCTGAGGATAAGGACTTACATTTCTTCTCGCACTGCTTCCATCTGCTCCTCTTGCTGCTCCTCGTAGAGACAGCTGAATCTCGATCCCCGCCTCAGCGGCCTTAGAATCCCGATACCGGTGCAGAGAGTGGGAGACGTGGGGACATAACGCAATGGGTAACTAATACCTGCAACACCCCTTGCACTACTACTACTACGCATGGGGTTGATATAGTTTGAAACAGACTCGGCTCTCCGTGACGGAGAGGAATCGAAGCTCGAGATATGGCCAGTGAACATGTGCGCGTCAGAGACGGGGCTTGGCTTCCGACGAGGTGCCACCCGTTGCGTTGCGATAACGTCTAGCCTTGAGCTCGGTGTAGAGCTTCGTGGCGCGTCCGTCTGAATCAGTCGCACGTAGGTTGTGCGGAGCCAAACCACAGTCGGAATCAGAAACCAATCAACGAACGGACAACTAAACAAGCAGAGCACAATAAAAAAATGACACGAAAACAAGCGACGCTGTAGAGTAAACTCGACACACAAACTCACATCCGACGCAAAGGAATCACTTGTCCGTCCCATTCCGCCGTCGCCGCCACCACCGCCGTCGCCGCCATCGCTGCACCTGTCCCCGCCTCCTCTGCCGCCGCCTGAGCCCCCGACGAACTCAACGTCGTTCGCGCTTCGCCGGTTTCCGCCTCCACCGGCTCCCCAGCTCCCGTCAAGGCCTCGCCGGGGGCGACGCCGCTATCGACCTTTTCCTCCGCCTTTTCTGTTCCCCCGCTCACCCCTGTGATCGCCGCCGTCACGTGCGAAGCCACCGGCTCGACGATCATCGGCCCTGCGGCGTTCGCGCCGGAGGACGCCTCTACCCCGGAACTCGACGAAATATCCAACGCCACGGCCGCAGCAGCGGCGGCGGCGGCGGCGGCTTCGGCGGTGGCGGCGGCGGCGGCGGCTTCGGCGGTGGCGGCGGCGGCGGGAGGAAGCGCGCAGTCCTTGGCGCCCTTCCGCTCGCTTCCTCGTTCTTTGCCTCCGGCGGCTGCGGCGGCTTCTTCTTCACCTTGACCCTCATCTTCCTCCGGCTCCAGCCGCGACTCCGTCGTCGATGGTACCGAGTCCTGCCAGAGCAAACACAACGCGAGTGCATGGCTCTTGGGTGTCTGTTGCTGTATATTCGATGGGAGGGGAGGCGACACACGTCGTGAAGGTAACGGCAGAGGGTTGCGTTCAGGGACCAACCGCCCGACGGCTAGGTCGAGAGTGTGGGCAAAGGTGACTCGCACAAAACAAAAAAATAAAGTTTGTTGTCTAACCGAATAATCTGTTGTTTTTGTGCACGGAAAATTTCAGAAATCTCCCAGGCCTACGTAGTATTTGGGTTCTTGTTGTACCGCCCCGGAGGCATGTTGTTTCGAATGGTTGTCTTGGTTCGGTTTTCTGGATTCCCAAAAAGAGAACAATCTCACGGAGTTATCATTCTGCTGCGTCGCTGCTGCTGCAGCAAGGGTTTGATAGACGCGTGTCCACTGGACCCAAGGGCCTCGTGTTGATGAATACACAGCAGTGTTTAACACGCCGCTCGCTTTGAAGGGTCACGCGGCAAAGGAGGGCAGCAGCTAGCTACATCGAAGGTCAGCCGTAGCCAGAAAACATGTCCGGGGGCCAGAAACAGGCGCGCGTTGTCACGGAAACCGGGGGTACCCGTCCACACGCCTCTTGATTGATACGCTTTGCTTTGCGACACCAACCCTATATGCCGATGCCTGTGATGCATATAATTTTCTTCAACACCCGGCGGTCTTCTTCTCCCTCTTGCCTGCCTGTCGGCCTGCTTCCTTGTTCTCGCTTGCGCACATTAAAATATTTTTGCACTCGCACCTGCAGCTTGATCAGGTAGTCCTCCGCCTGGCTCTTGGATCCCGCGAGAACGAGCACGTTGCACTCGCCCGCGAAGGTGAAGTCGTCCCCAGGAAAGATCGTCGCGTGCACGAACGACGCGCAGCATCCCCCCGACCCCCCGCTCCCGCCCTCGCGCCGTCGTCGGTTGTCTTCCCGCGTCCCCCCTCCAGACTGCAACCTGGCGCTCCCTTCGACGTTGGTATCCATGGCGGTGGGGACGGCGGTCGCCTCTGCCGGGGGGCTGCTGCTGCCGGCGGCGGCGGCGGTGGCAGCCAGCCCGTCCGTGGGTGTTGCTTTCGCGTTGCTGGAGCCGAGACCGGCCGCAGCGACGTCCCGGAAGTCGCGCACCATGGCCATGAGGAGAACCTCTCCCTTCGAGTCCTCGTACAGCTCGAGGGCAGCTCTGACATGTGTGAGACGGTGTAGGTAGGCCGTGCATGCATGTAGAGTAGGTGGGTCATCTCTGAGATGTGAGGGTGTAGAGGATTAGGCGTGGGTCAAGAGGGGTGTTCAAATCGTTTGGGGGCCCGATCAACATCCTGGTGCTATTGTTTGGGGGCGATGGAGGCGGCGGCGGCGGTGAGGGTAACATGAATGTTGCCTACGTATTCGAGTGGCTGCGGGTTGTGCTTGAGACTAAAGTTGTTCCAGGGTAACGGCGAATCGGGAACGGTTTCTCTGGGTATTTCCGGGATGTCAGTGGGGGCGGTTTTTCCGAACAGGCGGCAGCGTGGAGTACCAAAGAGGCGGGCACATTGCACCAACACAACCACAAGCTCACCCCTGCGGAAAAAAAGTAAGGAATCAGGCGTTCTTGTGTCACCACAGCTGATTCCAATGTTGACTAGGGCAAGCCGGAAAGCACACCTTCGCCAGCGCAACAAACGCGGTCCCGTTGCGCGGGGAAAAAGCGTCGCGACTCCAAACCCGCAACACGAGCACCAAAGCAACACCAGCACTCGGCACCACAAACCGCGCACGTTTCGCACAAAAAGCATGCTTTGAACCGTGGTTTGCTTCTTCCCGCCGGGACGCGACAAAATCCACGGCAAATAACGCAACGAAGACGCCAACAGCAAGAGCAAAGCACAACGCTCACAAACGACGACAATACAACAAGAGGCGTCCAGGTTCCACTCACCTGCTGAATGTCAGCCCCCAGAGACACGAGCCTTCCCACACCTTGAGAGCCAGCGAGTAGACCTCGTACTTCATGCCCCTCTTGTAGTCGGTGAGCCACATCGGAGGGGCACCAGTCGTGGAGTTCCGTGTCTCGTCAAGGCCGTCGCCCGCCGTGGCGGCCACGGCCTCGTCGCTGGAAGGGCTGCGGCTGTGCTTGACTTTTCCTCTGAGATACAAAAGGCAGCGCCCGGAACGGGGCATCGTGCAGGTGTGTGCGCAATGCAGCGGGGAAACCCGAGGGGGGGGGGGGGGGGGGGGGGGGGGGGGGGGGGGGGGGGGGGGTGAGTTGTTGTGGGATTTGTGTCAAAATCATGAAAGGATATGTGGGTGTTAAGAAAAAAAAAATGAAGGCTTGTATCGGATGGCGGTTTTAAGGAGGGTGGGTGGGTTGATTTGGATATGAAGGATTCGCCGTTGCGTAAGGGGTGGGTGGGAGCTGCCCCAAGCAGGCGGATGAGTATCTAGGCGCCATGCCATCAAGAGTGATTCCGCCATGAGAACAGCAACGGCAACAACGTAACCACAGACAACCACGATCGAGGAAGAAAACACCACCGCCGTGGATTCCCGGAGGAGCACTTATCGGGTGCCGGACGTAATATATAGATAGCACGACCTGCCGGAGCGGCGAAGGGACACTTTTTCCGCCGCATGAGATTTTGAGCGCTCACGTGTTGTCCACCGGGACGGTGTAGTCGCTGCTGCTCCGCATGGCGTTGATCGCGAACGGCAGGAAGGCGGGAAACAGGGTGGCGCAGGCCAGCATCGACATCTTGAGCTCGTCGTGGCAGATCACGTGGTTGATGCCGAACCGCAGCAGCTGCGAACAAGCGCGGAGGCCGGCCAAAGAGATGCACGCGCAAAAGGGGGCCACACATACGACTATGACGAAGACGAAGACGATCACGACTGGATGCTGAATTTCCTTGGAGACGGCTACGTATTTCGAGCCGCAACCCGACTTGACTACGAGGCACCCATCACGATATCTCCGAATGAGAGCGTCTCAAAGATGGGAGACTGCTGCCAAGCACGGCATCGAGCGGACCCCTGGTCAGCCCTCTTCCTATCCCAAAACCGTGTTTCCCGGATATTCGCATCGGTCGTGCGCGGAATTGCTCGTTTCGGCCGCCTTTCGAGGCATGGTGTTCACATGACGAGAATTGGAATACCAGTCGGGGGCCAACACTTACGCGAAACTGGTGAGGGCCAAGGCAAGGAATGGGTTCACCAAGATCCCTCTACCATGCACGGAAGAACAACAAGTATAGGAAAAGCAGGGAAGAGGGCAACGACACGCAACATCAACAGCAAACCCATTACGCTTGGTTGGCTCACCTGTTCTTTGCTGCTGAGCTCCTTCACAGCAACTAGGGTGCGGCAAGGCATACCCATGACGCTTTGCTCCGATACCCGGCGCATCAACCCCTGAGGAGCAAGACGGAAAAGACGGAGCCGGGCCCTAAAAAATTTCATCTTGCTCGGGAAATATGGAGGGGTAAAACCTCCCCGAATATCGAAAAGGTCTTTTGACAACGAAGGAAACACTAGCATAGGAAAAGAAGTCGCCTCCAACGGAGAACGGTTGCAACATAAGGTGGCGCACATGCCACACAGAAACAAAAAAAATAACGCACGAGAACATATCGATTGATGGCCGTAGCCAAATAAAAAGCACACTCTTTACATGCGTGTTCATCTCTCTCCCTCACACACACGCGCGCGCGCACACACACACACACACTGGCTGTTTTTCATCGGTCCGCGGATTGCGTGAAACACACACACCGAGTCCGTGGGCGTGCGGTAGAGGTAACGCTGCACCGACTTTGCGGCGAGGGTCGTCTTCTCCTCCATTTCCACGGAGGAGCTCCCGATCAAGCCGCCCCCTTCGGCTGGGAACAAGAAGATGCAGTCGGCGTATCTGCTCGTCGATTCGTGGGTTGTTAGGTGCAGCGACGGGACGTAGGCATGACGATATGAGGGATGGTGATGGTGACGGAAGGAAAGGAGGGGATTCACGCACACACACAGCGTGCTAGAGCACACACAAAGCCCACGGGTTTTCATGGCTCTTACCTGCTTTGCTGCTGCTGACGGGTCTGGTCACCGATCATCGGGATAGCTTGCCAAAAAAACACACACACACACACACACAGGTTCATGCACGGCCCCTTGTCGAGTGGAGCCCCAAGACAAAACGCGTTCCCTCCGAAATCTGACTTTGTCCTATTTGGCCAGCCGGTTAGCGCCGGTCGATGTCAAACAAGCACGCACGCACGCAAACCACCCGAGTCAGTCAGAAACTCACTCCGCACATACGGCGTTCATGTCCAAAGGGTCCATGACGCTTCCCCGGAAGTATATGACCCTCGACATGAACAGGGGGCTCCGTATGACGCTCAGGACCTCTGGGGAGGGCGAGGAGGGGCTCATGATCACGACCCAGAGAGACTCATTGTCCATGCCATGATCCTTGCAAGATTAGAAGAACGCACAACAAAACATAGAAACCCGCACGGAGAGAGAAATTGTTCAGCAACGTGTTTCAGAAGCTCCCGTCTTTGAAGACAACCTTGCGAACACGATTGGAGAGCATGCACGCCGTTCCCGTATAGAAAGACGAACGTGTTTGGTTATTGTTTCAAGCTTGTTTTACGTTGGTAAGCGTCTTTAACTTCATTTAACATCAAATGAGGCACCACCATGGTCGCGAAAAAAATCTCGTCCTTGACGCCGGAACGCCTGCTGCACACTGCTAACCTTAACCCTAACCACGCCAGGTATTCAACAACTGCTGCGCGCGCACACCGGGGGTCACCTCGTGGAAGAGCTCTTCGATGATTCTCCGAAGAGACGCCGCGTTGAAACCCGCCTCGCCCTCGCCGTCGTCCTTCCCGGGAACCATGGCGAGCACCACGTGGAGCCTGTTGCCGAGCAGGTGCCTCGAGTATCCCACTCTGTTCTTGGGTCGGCTGCCGATGATTTCCATCAGGTTCCCCACCTGTCGCATCCACATCGACAGCATAAACACATAATGGTGGGCTAAGGTTCAGCCGACACGGGGTCGCAGCTTTCCAAACCTACGCACCGCATGTGTAGGAGTAGGTTTGCCTGGGGAGAAAATACGTCTGCTTAGAGGGAAAGTGAATGGGAACAATGCTCCGTTTTCTCGAAAACACGCGGTCTAACTACTAAGGCATGCGATCCTGAGTACGCCCCCCTCCCCCCCGCCGCCCCAAACGTATGCCTCGTATAGCCCGGGGGGGGCTTTCTTTGGCGTGCCGGCCGGCCGGTCTGCTGCCTCCGATGCAGCCAACATGGCACGGGCGAACCTACAACTCCGGTGACTGCCGATAAGCATGCAACAGCCCCTTTCCCACGGCTTTGAGTTCGGAGGTAGTACGTGGAACACCATCGTTTCGGGGCAATGTAGTTAGAGTGTTCACAACAAGGGGAGCATGAACCAGACGGCTGCCGATGATGTCGATCAGATACCGACTTAGCCCTGAGCTTGGGTGCCTTGCTCGCAACGACCAACGCATCACGCGCGCTATGAGTCACCCTGATGAGAGCAGCAGGAAACAGCAAACAACCGACTGCGACAGGACAGCGCACTCAACCCAGTGCAAAATTTCTAGCAAGCACTCGCCACGCGATGCAACAACTCAGTTGCCTCTCCACTACGTGCGAATAAAACGGGGCTTCGTTCCTAAGAGAATGCCGTCCACCCCCGCTCCGCACCCCCGCCCAGAGCGCCTCCGTCTCTTGAACCGCCCTCTCACCTCGAACGGGACGTACGTCAGGGCGGCCAGAATCACCGCGATCTGTACAGGACACGCGCAACCACAGAATATGCAAGAGCGGCAGCGACGAAGAACTGACAAGGAGGCACCGAAAGCAGCAGCAACAACCGCTGCAGCAGAAGCAGCAGCGGCAGCGGCAGAAAAAGCATAACGATTTCAATCGTGTACACAGCGACAAGAATAACGGCAGGTATCGTTCCGTGAAACGATCAACGATAACCGCACGTGAAATGTTGTGAAGTGTGATCGCCATCCAAACAAAAACCTCACGACGAGGCAAAAATCACGCGAGTGTGCGCCACGTATTGAGTGTACTTATACCACGCTTGCGGCCTGGTTGAACTTTCGCCAACACTGGGGGGTAGTCTCACCATGAGCATCCTGCTGATGGCCATCACGGGTAACACGTCCCCGTACCTGTCATTTGTTGGTAGAGGGGAAGCGTTGGGGGGGGAGGCGTCGGCGGCAAGGGGTGGGGGGAGGGGGGGCGTACCCATGTTTTGCATCCCTTGGTTGTTACAGACCATCGACCACGGGTCCTCGATAGGACGGAGATTTGTTCCCACTTGACCAATCACTGATGGCCACATGGCTAAAAAATGTTTTCCATATATCCTATCGGTATTACTTGCCCTTTTCTCAGTCCACTTCTAATACCTTAGTATCGCTGCCGTCTCCTCGCTGGTTATTCCATGTCATGGGAGGGGGGGTCCCAGGTGGCCATGGGTGGAGGAAATAAGATGTTGAAAATATACGAACAATGACGTATCGCAAACAAGGAACAAATGCGTTTACACGCCACCATGCCCCGAATCGCTCAGCTTGCAAATCTGCACCTCACGGCGTACCAAGCGGTGGTTTGGTGGAAATGGTGTGAAAATTGACACCGCAACAAGACAAACACGCTGCTCGCTACTCCGGCTGCCTGTGCTCACCCCACCGTAGACAGCGTCACGATGGTGAAGTACAAGGAGTCGTGCCACTGCATGGTGCCGTTATCTTCGGTGGTGCCACCGTCCTCGAAGGCTTTACCGTCCTCGTCTCCCTTGAAGGCTTGCTCCGTCCCGTAGATGATGGCCGTCGTCATCAGGATCAGGCCCAATATCTGTTTCGAAGGGACCGCAAGACACCCAAGACAAAAAAAAAAAAAACACATATTTCAACCAACAATCCGTGGTTTTGGGGACACCCGTCAAAGTATCTTGAAAAAAAAGTGCTGTGGTGGCAAACGACGCTACGTTTACATTCGTGGCGCTCTCCAACATGTCGACAAGCGAGTTACATCATGCAAACCTTGAGCGCCCGTGAAGGAACAGCCAGCAAATCGACACAGCGGGAAAGGGAACCGAAAGGCCTTCGGCAGAGCACCGTCGTCAGAGAAACGTCTTTCCACAAGCTTTGTTCCGCTAGAGGGGTCTTGAAAGACGAACAAAATCAGAGTCAGGCAGAGCCAAAACTGTCTCAAAAGAAGGGGAAGAGGGCATGACGCACACACACGCACACGGTTGCTGCACAATCGGGAAACGGTATACGTTTAGCCGGCTACGTACCGGGAGGGCGAGCGAACATTACCTTGAGCCCCAGCAGGCACGCGTTCACGGTCACATCGGTGAAAGTACCAATCTTTTCGAGCGTCCGGTGGTTCCGAATCACGCGGGTCACCTTACCAAGTCGCAAGTATCTGCACCGGGCAGCCGGGGGGGGGGCGCGGATCGGAGTGTGGCGAGGGCGAGGGCGAGGATGACCTATATCCGGGTCGTCCAACATTTGCTGTGTGCATTCATCCGCTACAAAGGAATGAGGAAATACTGGTCTTCCGCATGTTGCACCGGGTTGACCAGCGGAATGGAAGGTTGTGCCGCCTACCCTTTGTGGACATGGGGTGCCGGGTTTCCGGTCGTTTCAAAGCCGGGACTGCCAAAGCTATATGTCGTGGAACACGACCAAAGCACAGATCCAACCGTGTAGGGACAACGGTCATGTAACAACGAGGGCGCGACACAAAATGCGAACAACAAATTGATGGGTACGCGATCGCTGTAAACACCCTATCCGGATCTTTTTCATTTTTCCAGGGATGCACATTCTAAACAGTCAATCCTATGTATCGTATGCATACTTCATGGTGATGGCGTCACGGATGACGATCATCTTCCGGCGGAGGTAGGCAATGAACACGTATTCCATGCCAGTTTTTTTTTTTTTTTTTGCTCGACGGAAGGCAAGTTCGAGTCGGGGAAGCAAAGCAGCACCGCACCTCGAGAGCGGCGTTTCAACACCAAGCGCGGCAGGGAAGATTTCCCATCCACGATAAGGTCGGGCGCGGTCTCCACCCATACGCAGCGCTACGTCCGCTTGATTCGCGAGTCCACGCCATCGGGCAGGCGTATTACACAAGACTTCTAGCTTGGGGGCGGGGGGTATACCTTGTTTTGCTCTTGCCTGAAAAAGGTATACCAACTACGTTTTTTTCACCTGACGAAAGAAAGGCTGTAGAGCCAACTGTAGAAGGCGCCGAAGACAGGAAAGATGCTGCAGAGGTCTACGATGCCCTCGAAGCTCAGGACGTATGTTAACCGCACCTTGTTGCCGTTTTGGCGGATTTGTGCGGGTGCAACAAAGGAAATAAAAGCAAGGCGCGACCAATCGACTGAGACGCTGCGCGCGACCGGGGGGGCAGCAGCACGTGCCAACAATGAAAAAATATGTGAGGAGGGTGGTAGACAACCTCTGAACGACGGGCATCGTGAAGCATGTATCGAACTTGGCTTTTGAGGTACCTACAAGCGTGTAGTACCGTCCAGGCCCATTATATGTTCGTGCAGAAGTCACATGTTTTGGTGCCCACAAGACCTGTGCAAGCCACAAACGAACAACAAAACCACATACAAATACAGGTGTGTAGCTCTCCAACATGTGATACTACACGCAAAAGGTTTGCGACGTTGTGTAGAAATGCCCGGGTGGTAAGGCTCCGTCTATGCACAAACGCGACAGGCATCTAAGCGTTCATCGGGGGGAGTGAGACAGCGATTTGGGTTGTAAGTCAAGGCCAAAAGTACATAACTGTTGAGAGGGCGCTCGGTGTTCGTGAGAAAGATCGCAAAAACGTTGGCAGAGGAAGAAGAGATTGCCGAACCGGACACTCTGTCTCGCGACGACAACAGAACACAGGCAAATGCCGCTAAGGAGGAGCACTCTCCCGCAAGGCACCCGGGTGGTACACACAGGAGTCTACGGAAAGGAGTGGCTTCAGGCGTCCAAGACAAGTCGGGTGGAAAACATTAAACAAGGGGTTCGAGGTGGTGGTGGTTGCAAAATTGTACCGCGGGAAAAGGTGCCAAGAGCAAAATGAAGATGGGAAGGGGGGGGGATGGAGAGGGGCGGTACCACATGGTGCGCCAAAATCACGGCCGCGGCGAACCACTTACCGCTTCGGCGGTGACCGACAGGACGTAGTCCACGAAAAAGACGAGGGCGAAGACAGCCTCACCCGCGATCACGATGTAGTCGTACTGGTGCGCCGTGTAGGTGCCCACGATGAAGAACACGCACGACACCAACGTCGTGATGGAGGTGAAGAGCATGCACGCTGCCACGGGGGAGCGTCCATGTGGCGGTAGGTGCGCGGGGGGCGGGGGC